TCCCCGAGCCTCGTGTTTTATTTCACAATCGTGTGTCTACCACTTAACACAGAAAGATCTGACTGAGAAAAGATGATTCCTGAAAGGAAAGTCTGGGGTTTTATTATACCTCTGGGCTAGACTGGGTGATCTTTGAAGAAATAAGGTCGTATCCTTTTCATTTCCTATCCACAGGACAATATTTTAGCAGTGCCCAGGGTCAGGGGGAAGGAGCCCAGGGCCCAGCCATGTGCTGCGTGGTAGGAGAACCAGCGCCCACAGAGTGCAGGGGTTTCAGGCCCGCAGAGCAGCCAGGAGACCCGAGTCTGGCTCATGGTCCCAGGGAACATGGAAAATCTCTCTCAGAGCACAGGCGTGGGCTGGTGGGAAACCGCCGGGGAGGTGGACAGTCAGCCCGTGGCCAGCCGGGGCAGGGAGTGCGCAAGCTCCTGTCCGGGATGGCTCTGTCTTCAGCCCCCTGAGTCCCAGTCGAGGCTCTCCAGGGACCTGCAGGGGCACTTGGACAGCACTTTCCCTTCCCTTTCCTTCTCCCCGAATCTCCTATTTCCAAGACAGAGGTCGAATTACCTGTTTCCTAAAGAGGCTCCAGCCCCACATTCTAGGAAGTGCTATAGGACTTTAGGAGTGCGGGAACAATTTTCCAGGTCACCGGGGCCACCTGCTGTGAGCGTGTGGCTGCCTGGAGGGGTGGGATAGGGAGGGTGGGAGGGAGGGAGACAAAGAGGGAAGAGATATGGGAACATATGTATATGTATAACTGATTCACTCTGTTATAAAGCAGAAACTAACACACCATTGTAAAGCAATTATACCCCAATAAAGATGTTAAAAAAAAAAAAAAAGAAGTTGGTGAGTAAAAGAAAGAAAAGGAGATAAGAAATTATATCCCTAGAACTGCTAGGAATAAATACAGAGAATCCACATTTGTGTTAAAAGTTTGTCTTTCTGAGCACCTGTTTAATTTTACTGAATTCCACCAAAGAAGAAAATAAGTCTCTCTGTTTATGGTCATGGCCATCAGACTTGGAGGAAATCCCATTAAACTACAAAAGTGTTTTCACTTGCTATCTTTTTACCCTTTGGGTTTTGATCAGTATCTATTAAAAAAAGGGAATATGATGAAACTACACCATATCCATTCTCCCAATCCTCTAGGGGGCATGAGTGTTCTTTCGTGTTTATTCCAATTGTTACCAACAGTATTCCAACTATCAGAATCCAGTTCTTCCAAGAAGAAAGCCTATTACATTTAGAACACTGAATCACTGAGTGAAAAATACTTAATTTAGGAAACGCTTCTCTCTTAAATATAAAACCTTTGTTTCAATTTAATATATTAGATATAAAATATTTCAATAAAGTAGATATAAAACTGTTTCAATAACTATTTTAGTGTTAGTTTCTAAATTTGAAAGGACAGGTCATAGTTTTGCTAAGGTATGAAACCAGAACAAATGGAATGTCTCCAAACTAAAAGGGTATTTTCAAGAGGTCGCTAAACAGTTCATTCTATTGATGTTAAAGCTGTCATATTTGGGTATGTCTTACCACAAATACAATTATGAAAACAGAAAAGAAGAGGAGGAAGTTAGAGATGCAGAAAGGCAAAAGAACTTCCTGTGTATATGGCCATCATACAGAGTCATCAAATCTCTAGTGGAACAAAACAAATCAATGACAATTGAAGATTCTTGTGCAATACAGTGGAATTAGAGATGACAGTTTTTATTCTCCTAGATTGAAAACATGCTGCCCCATGCAAAACAGAGGCTCCAACTTGAGGGTGAATAATTATATAAGTAACTTCTTTTAATAAAAATGAGGAAGTGACTGTGGTGATCCAATGACTTTAAAAAGGAAAATATAAATTCCTCCAATAAGAGACTAATGAGTGAACTTCGTGTATCTTCTGAATTCTAGAATCGATTA